TTTGCTTTTAATGAAGAAATCTACTTGCACATTTTACATGCGTACCGGTACATGTTCATTTGTAAAACTGTCCATTGGTTTCATATTTGTTTGTTTTTGTTCATAAATATTTTGCTCATTACAAAATTATTCATTCGTCTACACAGTATCATTTGTCTATGTCCGTCCGATACGTTTGTTATTTGTTTGAGAAATGTCAGTCTTATGTTGGCTTTGTTTAATTGTTTGAATCATGTCCGTCTTATACGTTCGTTCTTTTAAGAATTTTTTCATGTCCGTCTTATGTTTTCATTATTTTATAATTTTTTTAATCTTCTACGTCATATCGTTCATAAATTCGTTCATGTCCGTCTAATGTGTTTGTTGTTTTATTTGTTTAAATCATACCCATCTTATGCGTTTGTTATTTATCTGTTTGAATCACGTCTTATACGTTCGTTCGTGTATTGCGGACTCGCGATCAAAGGCTGGCAGCAGTGTGGCGGCTGGTTCACAATGCTAAAACCCTGGAGCGTGCATAGCCAATCAGCGCAAAGCATGAATCCATCTGCGCAACAAGCACATGGTTAAACGAATGATCATGCCCATGCGGAGCAGGGACGTAGCCAGGATTTTGAAAGGGGGGTGGGGAGCCGTTATGCGAATTACGTATGCCCCCGGCGGGGTCAAGGGGCGAATCTCCCTGTGAAGTAGCGCACTCTGAACGTTCTTAGGACTGTTTGAGAGGATAAAGTGAAAATTGCAATAGACGCATTATAAATAAGCGAAAAAATAATTATATAATACATCAACAGTGACAGATCCAGGAATTCGAAAGAGAGGTGAACCAGGGAGGGACTTTCACAGACTGAGGAACCTCCCACCTCAGCCCCACCATGGTTGGGGCTGAGGTAAGAAAATTTATGATTAGGGCATCTCTAGATGGCCTGTCTCTTATACACATCTTGATAAAATAACTCGATTCCATTTAACTATAAGAATGGAATTATATTTTGACTGTTACAGAGGCATCAAATAAATTCACAAAGAGACTGAAATTAAGG